GGGATCTGGACAAGGAGAAGTCTGGCAATAAATGTGAGAAGGGAGGGACAGGCAGTAGAAACAAAAGTGAAACTGTTTGAGCAGCATATTCCAGAAGTCTTTGTCTTTCTGAGTGTAGCCTTCATTGATTTAAGATCTACCATACCATTCTCTCACTGTTCCAGAAATAAAGGCTAATGTTGAAATTGCAAAATACTTCCGTAACAACCACTTTTTATAATAAATATAATATATGGAGATATACCTATCTCATAGAACTAGAAGGGACCCCCTAAGATCATTGAGTCTAGCCTGCTGCCTTCACTAGCAGGACCAAATACTGATTTTTGCCCCCGATCCCTAAGTGGCCCCCTCAAGGATTGAACTCACAACCCTGGGTTTAGCAGGCCAATGCTCAAACCACTGAGTTATCCCTCCCCCCTTTACAGCAGCTGCTCTAAAAAAAGTGGGAGGAACCAAGCTAACACTCCCACAAGACATGCGATGGAACTCAGTAGTGGACTGTTTTGAGCACTATATCAAGAACTGGCCTAATCTGATGACAGTTTGTGAACAAAATTGTGAAAAAATAGATGGCACTGTCACAGCCAAAGTTCTCAACATTGGGCTTAAGAGAAATGTTGAACACATGCTGAGTATCTTGAAGCCTATTTCTGTAGCCTTGAACAAAATGCAGGGAAATAGCTGTTTTATTGCTGACGCTGTTGAAATTTAGAAGGAACTGAGTGAGATCTTACAAAGAGAAATATGCAATGACGGAGTTAAATTACAAGCATTAAAAAATAAAAACAAACAAACAAACAAACAAAAAAAACGAATGGGACAAGCACTATCTCCAGCTCATTTTCTTGCAAATATTCACAATACTTGGTACCAGGGTCAAACCTTAACTGCTGATGAAGAGGAGTTGGCTATGACATGGACATCCAGCAATGATCCCTCCATAATGCCAACTATAATAAACTTCAGAGCTAAGGATGAACCATTCAAGAAATATGTTTGCTGATGATGTTTTAAAGAAAGTCACACCAGTGAACTGGTGGAAGTCGCTTAAACACTTGGATTCAGAGACTGTTGAAGTGATAATCTCACTTTTAACAGCAGTAGCTTTTTCTGCTGGTGTAGAAAGAATATTTTCTTCTTTTTGGACTAATTCATTCTAAATTGAGAAATCGTTTGGGACCTGAAAAAGCAGGAAAGCTTGTTTTTCCTTTTCCAGATTATGAACAAACAGGAAAATGAAGGTGAAGATGACTGAGTTAGCTGCAGAAGCCAATATTTTAAGTTTCTCATGTTGACCTGGCTGACATAGTCAATTTAATTTTTTTTTAAATATTTAACTATTTTAGTTAAAAACAATTAACAAAAACAACGCTGGTTTTAAAAAACTTGAATGTTTAACTAAATTCAAAAATTCATATGCTTATTTTGTTTAAAATATAATATGTTTGCTGTTGAAGAAAAAAATCCAGAATACACGACGTTGTTTTTTTAGTTAAATAAAACAATTTAAATGTCTGTCTGGTGATGTTTCCTCCTAATACAGCAGGGGTAGGCAACCTATGGCAAGCGTGCCGAAGGCGGCACGTGAGCCGATTTTCAGTGGCACTCACACTGCCCGGGTCCTGGCCACTGGTCCGGGGGACTCTGCATTTTAATTTAATTTTAAATGAAGTTTCTTAAACATTTTAAAAACCTTATTTACTTTACAAACAACAATAGTTTAGTTATATATTATAGACTTATAGAAAGAGATCTTCTAAAAACGTTAAAATGTATTACTGGCACCCGAAACCTTAAATTAGAATGAATAAATGAAGACTCGGCACACCACTTCTGAAAGGTTGCCGACCCCTGTAATACAGCATGGCAAGAAAATCCTCCAAATATTAAAGATTAACCTGTTGAATTGGAGATAGTTCACCTCCCAATGACTTCATAAATATCTGCTTCAATTACATTTGGTAAATGAAATAACCAATCATTCATTTTCTGATATAGCTGTAAAACTAATCTGAAAGTTTTCAAAATAAATCACTTTAAAAATGTATAGTGTGTACCTTCTAAAAATGAAACCTACATCTATCTCTGAGTTGTGAAGAATATGTATTAAGGTTATAACAACCAACAAGAATGCACTTTTATGTAGAAATCCATAAAGAAATTTGATTTAAATCAAATCCACCTTAGTTCAAACAGAAAAAATGAGTCTTAAGTCCCTTTGTAAATCCCACCCTTAAGTGCTGCAATGCTCAGCATCGCAGCACCTAACTTTTAGGTCCCCTCCTGCCTAGCAGAATTCACAACCCTCAGTGATGTGTCAGCCCCCTATACAATGCAGGGGGAGAGTTAGGTGTACAAGAATGGAATTCATAAAAGGCAGCACACTGAGTTGAGAGCCAAATTAGATAGGCCACACCCTTTCCTACTATCTGCACTCTAGTTTTACCACCATGAACCTTCTAGCCATGGGCACCTAAACCAATCAGACCTTGTTAATGAATGGTGGAAGAGGAAGTGGTGCCACCATTCTCTCTCTTTTAGCCCAGCAGTTAGGGCACTCACCCAGGATGTGGGAAACCTGAAATCAATTTCCCCCCGACTGATGTGGAGAAGGGATTTGTAGAGTCTCCTAGGAGGGCCCTAGCTCTGGTATATTCTGGGACAGGTCTCTCCTGTTCCACCGTGTATAAACAATTAAATATTCAGGGGGCCAGAGCAAGTGAATATGAGGCTATAGCTCAAGGAGTAGGGCACTTTGCTAGGAGATAGGAGACCCAAGTTCCATTTCCTCTGCCCCAGAGAATTGGCAGTTAGGTGCCTAAGGTCCCCTGGTGACCCCTGTGCTAACAGTACTCCAGAGGGCAGCTGAAAGCAAGAGGAAGATTCTATTCAGGCTTTACTACCAAATATCAGTCCATCAATGCATGTTCATTCTGTCAGAAAAGATGGACATGGTAGATTATTCTAAATAGCAGCTGTAAAATGATGCTTGTCAGATAACAACCCTTTGTGATTACAGCACCGCTTTTCATTTTTATATATAATCTATCTGTATCAGGAAAAAAATTCCTAGAGGGATGATTGCATCAGCACTCTGTCTTCTTCAAAGAAATATATAATAAAAGGGAGTTGAACACAGTGTATATCACACTGCCTAGCCCCTAGAACAGTGGTTCTTAAACTTTTGTATTGGTGACCCCTTTCACATAGTAAGCCTCTGAGTGTGACCCCCCCCCTTATAAATGAAAAACAATTTTTTATATATTTAACACCATTATAAATGCTGGAGGAAAAGTGGGGTTTGGGGTGGAGGCTGACAGCTCATGACCCCCCATGTAATAACCTCACGACCCCCTGAGGGGTCCCGACCCCCAGTTTGAGAACCCCTGCCCTAGAAGGACAGCACTGCTTTGTAGAAACAAGATAAAACCCAAATCTGCAAGCCAGTAAGTAGTTTTATATTAATTAAATAGAATATTGGCGTTATACAGGCACCCACTCCGAAGGACATACTGTTCTTAACCTGGGGTGCGAGATGCCCTTTCTGGGGGTGCGAGACATGCGAGTTTTTAGAAGGTAAATCATTGAAAACACAAATTAAGCACAGGCACATAAGAACAACTACTTTGTTTCATCAAACCTATATATTTATTAATATTACAGATTTTTAACGATTACTGTAATATACAAATAAAAATATTTCTAGGTTTAAAGAACTGACCTACTTCAACGATTTTCGATAAGGGGTACGAGAACATATTTTGAGAACCAAAGGGGTGCAGGCTGCAGTAAAGGTTAAGAACCACTGCTCTAAGAGTTAAGTGCAGCTAGATGATAAGACAACATGTTATTAGATACACGCAGGGCCGGCTCTGGCTTTTTTGCCGCCCCAGGCATAAAAGCCACGGTATAACAGCACGAAAGGCAACCCTCCCGTTTTGCAACTGGGTGCGGTTTCTGCCATGCAACGTGACAGTTTGTGAAACAGTTTGTTAACTTGCTACCGCCTGTCCATGGGGTTGCGAATCAGGAGGGATGGGGGTGCCGCTACACCTGGCCGCCCGCCCCCTGCGGTGGGGGGGGGAGGGCGGCCAGAGCTCCGGGGGGAGGGCGGCCGGAGCCCCGGGAGGAGGGCGGCGAGCCCCGGCGGGGGCTCCGCTCTCCCCCCCGGCGGCCGGAGCCCCGGGAGGAGGGCGGCGAGCCCGGCCGTGGCCCCACTCTCCCCGGCGGCCGGAGTGCCGCGCCGCCCCCCTCCAGGTGCCGCCCCAAGCACAAGCTTGGGGGGCTGGTGCCTGGAGCCGGCCCTGGATACACGACTTCTTCACATGACACTTAAGAGGGAGCTGAAATAGCAAAGATCACTGCCGGTAGCAGAGTGCAATGCACGGCAACTTGCACCCCCGGCAGCCAATTCTACAAGGTGAGCGAGCCACAGCTAGGACACTAGACTTAGCAGCAGCAACGTAGCGGGATAATGCCGCCCCCGAACCAGACCCACGGTGCTAGGCTCCCGTGCACCCGGGGAGATTTTGGCCTGGTGTCTCCCCTTCCCCATGATGGACCTGCTCAGCCACTGAGCTCCGCCTGACCCCACTGGGCTCTCCCTTTCCCTCGCGCGGGGCACTGCAGGGGCAGCGGCCTCGCTTTGCTAACGGGCACGTGCGAAGCTTCCCACACGCTGGCTGGAGGCCGGGCCGCTTCTGCTGTTCCCCGGGCTCCGGAGCCGGCTCTGCGCGGCTCGATCCCCCCAGCACGGGCCGGGCCGAACTGCAGCCCCCATCCCACCACCTGCCTGAGCCAGTCCCGCTCCCGCAGCCAATAGCGGGGATGCTGCAGGAGGAGCAGCCGCGGCTCCCAACCCCCCGGAGGGCGGGGGGGTATCTGCCGGCTGCCCGCGACCCTCCCACTGCCGCTAAGCTCATAAAGCCCCCGCCTGCCCTGGAGCGGCCCTTTGCCTATTGCCCCGAGCGGAGGAGGAGTCAGGCGTCCCCAGGCAGCCCATTGCTGCGGCGGGTGGAGGCGGAGAGCTTGCGAGGGGGGCTTCGCTTCCCCCTCCCCCCGCTCAGCCCCTTCCCGGCAGCGCCCCCTTCTCCGCGGAGCCCGGCGCCTCCCGTGGTGCGGGGGAGGCGTGACCAGCTACGGCGGGGCAAACGGGAGCTGCTGGCTGCGCGTCCCACTGGAGGGGCGAAGATGGCGCTGAACGGCAGCAAGCGGCCCCCCATCCTCCTCTTCCTGCTGGCTCTGGCTCTCCCGCTAGCGCCGCCAAGCCGGGCAGCGGACACCGCGCTGCCCCCCATCCCCGCAGGTGAGGAGTGGGTAGGGTGGGGGGCAGCTCCAGCCGGGCCCCTCTGCCTACGCTCCTGGAGGGCTCGGGCTCATTCATTCGTGACCGGACTCGCTGCAAGAGACACGGGGAAACTGCCCGCCCGGCTGGGCTGCCCCAGACTCGCCAGGTCCCCTCCGGCTCGCGGTGGATTCTCTGCGCTTGGGGATGTTGCAGCGAGAGGCGAACTGGAAGTTGGGAGAAATTTTGGAAAGTTAGCTGCCCCTCCCCCCCCATGGTGGCTTGATGATGATTTGTAGCTGTGGTTTGAGGAGACGTTTAAAACTCTCCGATAGTTCTCCCAGCTTGGCGCTGCTAAGCCCCGTTGTTGGGAGGCTCTCCAAGAGCATCGCCAGCTCTGGCTTTGGGCTTGTGAGTTTCAGCGGAATTGGTTGCACGTGTGTTCTGCCTACTGTGCAACGTCCATCTGAAAGATAAACCTCCAGGCTCTTGGGTGACTTGCCCTGCGTGACCGCTTTCTGCCGAAACAGGGAACGTTTTTTGTGTGTGTCTTAAATAGAAATATGTTTAAGCCTCTGAAACAGTTTTATTTGGAGGGGGTTGGGGGAAGAGGAGGGAGTAGCGCTTTCTTCATGGAGCATGAATATCTACTGATCGTGAAATTCCTGCTGGGGAGGAACTAGTCAAAGATCTTCAAATTGTTGACTAGGAAGCAGATAAGTAGAGGCTCATAATGTATTCAGCAAACAGTAAGGCAAACCACACAAATATAGACCTACACTGGCTGAAAAGCTAATGTTCAAAGCCAGGATCTTTCCTCTTAATGGGGAAGAGATTTGCCCCTGTCTTCACCCTTCCCTGTTAATCAGTCCTCCTCCCTCTCCCCCATGAATAGCCTGAGACGCATGACAAGGTGTTGATGGGCCACATATTTCCTAGCTCCTGGAAGAGCAGATGGTGCCACTCACTGATGACCCAACTTACTTCTAGTGAAGCTTTGCTACTTAGTTTCTACATAAGAATTTTCTCCTAGCTGAAGGCATTGGAGAACTGAGTTTCCCCCTCCCTTTCATTCCAAAGCTTGTTCACCTTCTGCTGTTTGAATCTTGTAATGTTCCAAGAAGCTAGACAGCAGCAAGAAATTAAATCCTTAGTGTGTAAAACAATAACAAAAGAACTTATGCCCCAAACCAGTTGAAAAAGTGGTCAGACACGTTTGTCAAAGTACTGCCTTTGCTTCCAGGGAGCCACTTATTACAGTTTTGCTGTACAGGTCTGTCGCATCTTACACTGGGGTTACGTTCCGCAGTCCGCGCGTAAAGCGAAAATCGCGTATAGTCAAAATTACATTGAGTGTAATGGCGAGCAGAATCGCCCGCACTACAGGTACAGTATTAAAAGTGTTGTTTTAATCTTTTTTTTGTTTTTGCCGACTGTGTAAAGCTGAAATCGCGCGTAAGATGTTAAATGCGCGTAAGATGCGACAGACCAGTAATATTGAACCTAATGCACAGCTCTAACTGGATCTTGCATGGGAAAGGTATCCTATCCTGCTAGATGGATTTCACATGGTGATAAAAATAGCGTAGGCTAGTCTTGACAAGTTCAAAGCAATAATAAGGTTATTTTAATGTCTGGTTTAATTCTCTCAGTGTGCAGAAGAAAACTTTTTGGGGGAGTGACTCTTGTAAATCTCACCCCGTTTGATTAGACAGTATCGCGTAAGGGTGTTGGGAGCTTGAGTAATAACTAATGTAACAAAATCTTGCGTTGACGTATACCAGATTCTGTAGACGTGTGAACCTGCTCATCTGTAGCTTCCTTATACGGACAGTGCTGGCCTTGTTAGCTTGCGATTCTGGCTTTACTCCCATTAGTGATTTCCTACAAAGCTGCTCTGTGCACAATTTATTGCAGCCTGTCAGGGGGTGGGTGTGTGTGTGTGTGGTGGTGCTACTGCTGTTTTTATATTAGTCAGCACAGTGTGTCAACTTACAGCAAACTGCTTGCATTTCATTCCATTTCAAGTACACATCCCATAAAAGCAGGTTTTCAGACTGTAGTATGTGTCTCTTTTATTAACTGAGAGAAATAAGTGTTTCAGGGTGGGTGTTAGAGGTAGGATCTCAAGATTTAACGGATAGCTGCTAGACTGTTGTATTATGATCAACAGAATACTTAACTAATATGGTGCGTGTGTGTGTGTGTGGGGGGGTTACATTAACTAATCCTGGTGATATCTCTGTGAAGTAGGATTGATCTATTAATTTTGAACAATACTAATAGAAAACATTTATTTGTATTATGGAGGCTATCACTTTTTTAAAGTGGATTCTGGCTAACATGAATGTTAAGAAAATCTGTACTGAAATATAATCTGTATTGAAGTATACCAGACTGCTGACTTGGAAGCTGCTCCTTGAGATTCTTGATCCCAGACACATAGCAAGTTTGTTTGTTTGTTAGCTGCAGATGCCAGTTCTAAGCGTTAGTGATTTTCCTGAGTTATTCTGTGCACATTTTATTGCCTTCTTTTAAGTATGTTTTGTTACTCAGTGAGAAATAGAACTTGGCACATCTCTCTCTTGTGTTCTATCAGTCTTGAGCTTAATTTCCAGGTTGCTGGTATTTTGTGGAACAGTATGTAATTTTCAGTGTATAACCGACACAGTTGGCATGTTAAATTTTCAAAACATCAATATTTCTTACATTGGAAATCATTTGTAACAGTCGTGAGGAAAAGTGGCTGCCAAATACTATCTTGTTCTATTTTCAAATCAAACTACATACATAGTCTTGATCAAAAAGGCCAATGTTTCATTAATACAGAATTACAAATGTTCATGAAGAGTAACAAAAAGACAGATCGTTAACAGACCAGAATTGAGCAGTTTATTGCAACTAAAGTTACAAGAACCTTATTGCAACTAAAGTTACAAGAACCACACTAGGGGTTAATTCTAGTTAAACAAAACAAAAACTCTTCCCTTTCCCCCGCCCCCCCCCCCGAAAAGTCAGCTATTTTTTACAGCTTAAAAAAAAAGTACGTAAAGACCATTTATTGTCCAAATTGGGTACATAATACTTAGCGAAGTTCAAATCAGTATGTAACTCAGTCCACTCTGTGGATGATGAAGCCACAGTTTTAGACTTCGAGACATTTCTTGTTGTGTCAAACTTGGTAAATATCTACCTCTTGTCATCTAATGTAACCCACCCAAGTGAGTTAAGACCCCTATAGGGTTCAGCAGGAATTTTATGGATTGCAGTGGAGTCTAAAACAGATTTAGGTTAAGGTTGCTAAATCTGGTGTTTCGGCACCCAGATACCTTGTAGTCTTTTGGGTCCTGATCCACAGATGACTTGTCCAAGATCACACTGGAAATCTGGCAGAGCAGGGAATTGTATTTGGGCCTCCTGAATGTCAGGCTGCTGCCCTAAACCACTGGATTTCCCAGCAAAAATTACTTATGTGAAAAATCCCTATTTATGTGAGTAAAGCCACTGAAGTCAATGTGGGCTGCTCCCATGTGTAATGATTATTTGCACTGATCATTTGTAATGATCTTGTGTTTGCAAGATCTGGCCCTGAATTAGATTAAAACATGCAGAATAGCAACTGACTGCTGTGGGTGTGCAGCAGGGAAGTGTGTGTGTGTCTGAAGATAACCATAAATAAATAAACATGGCTTCTCTTGGAGTGCTGATCAGAAAAGTTGCTTTTATGTCACATTTCTAGTTACTTTTTTACTCTAAATATTATTGGATTGACTTTGAAAGGCTTCCCTGGCAAAATAATTTTGACACATTTTGCAAGCCCTTCATAGCATTCAGGATGCATGACATAATGAGGGTGGAGTGTGTTAACATGCCTAGTAAGTGCTTTGATAGATGCTAGTTAGTGCTGGAAATATTAAATTATCTTAGATTTATAGACTAAGACAAGATTTTGCCACCCTTCTTCATGTTGAGTAATAACTTAGTGTGCAGCTAGTTTCATTGATTTCATTGTGCAACTTGCCAGTGTAAGGTGAATAAGTGTGGCAAAAATCTGCCCCAAACACACTACCACCAAAGTAGACTTCAGTGGAGCTACTCACTGAGCAAGTTTCTACTCCACATGAGTAAAGGTGGCAGAATCGGCCTATATATCATCGAGGCCCTGATCCTGCAAGCTGCAATGCACAGTAACCTTGGCCGGCTTGCTACTCATTTTAAGTCAATGGGGCTCTGTGCAAGCAGCTTGCAGGATTAGAGTTCAAACTGGCTGCATGTGTCTCATGTGAAGTATTTGCACTAATAACAATATTTGGAAATATCATGACTAGAGCATGTCTTAAGTGTTTTGATTTCTTCTCTCTGCCAAATTTAATTGCTCATTTAAAAACAAAAAAGTTACTGGACTGTTGGCATTGAGGGACCATTCAGTTTATGCAGTGAATTGCACTATTAAAGTATGTTAATAAATGTAAATATTATCTATTTCTTATGGAACGGTTAGTTACTGTTTTAAAGTCTATTTTACCCAGTGCTTGAATTGATTCATTTGCATGAAGGATAGGTGTGGGCACTGTAAGGGCCTCTGTAGCTTTTTATTTAAGATGATTTTTGATTTTAAAATGCAAAAATAAAGTGCTCCTCAGAATTCTGTTTCAGAGAGGGTCATAAACTGAAGATATGAGAGAGGAATAATTCCCTTTTCACTTTAAACAGTGACTTTACTTTTCTGCAGCATGAAAATATCTTTGGTGACATTTCTCTAATGGGAGTGTATTGTAACTGTGTAGGAGATATTTAGATAATAGTTTCATTGGAGGGAGTATATTTAATCATTAAGGGACAGATTCTAATAGCCTTGCTCACATTCAGGAGCACCCTATTCAATGAGTAGATGAGTAGTCTGACTATTCCTGGAGTAAGATACTACTCAAGGTGAGTACAGGTATCATAATCTGGCCCATATTGATAGGACAGAAGCGAAGCATCTAAAAAGCATAATTAATCACATAATCACTTAATTG